TCTAATAGTAGCTTTTTAATATAAACAGCCTCTTTAGCAGCTAGGTTTATAGCAATGAATTCAGATTCAGCTGTAGAAAGGGCTACTACCGGCTGTAGTTTAGATTTCCAACTAATAGGCCCATTCCCTAGCATAAATACGTATCCGCTAGTGGATTTATATGTATTGATCTCCCCTCCATAGTCAGCGTCGCAGAATCCTTGAATATAAGGGTTTTTAATTTTATTATAATTTGTATTCTTATTTATAGTTCCTTTCAAGTATCTCAGTATTCTTTTAGTAGCTTGAATATGTTTTGCATTAGGATTGGACGAGAAACTAGCTAATCTAGATATGGAAAATACTATATCTAGTCTAGTTCCGAGAGCTAAATATAATAAAGAGCCTATAATTTCTTGATATAGTTTAATATTATTATCATTAGCTTTCTCTTTATTATGAATTAGCTTTATTTTCGGGTTCATTGGAGTGGAAACAGGATTGGAATCTAGCATATTGAACCTAGTTAGCACCTTTTTAGTGTATTCTGATTGATGTAGTTTTAGTGTATTGCTAGTCCTTTCGATTTGAATGCCTAGATAGTTCTTTATAGGACCTAGATCTTTTAGATCGAAGTATTCCTTTAGATTATTAATAAATTTATTAATAATCTCTTGATTTGGGGCTATTATAGCAATATCGTTGACGTATACACTTAGAATCACATTCTTATTTTTATTAATAAAAATGCATTCCTCGGAGATTAGGTTTATAAAGCCTAATTTATTTAATACGTCTTTTAGGGTATGATACCATATCCTGGCCGACTGTTTTAGGCCATATAAAGCTTTATTTAGCTTTAAAGCTTTATTCTTTAGTTCGCTAAATCCTTCTGGTGGACTTAATAAGAGTGGTGTATCGATATTGCCTTGTGCAAATGCTAGCACCATGTCGATTTTATGAATTAGCCAATCGTTTTGAAGAGCTAATACGAATAAGAGCTTCCATACCATCGATTTAATTACTGATGCATGCGTATCAATATAGTCTAATCCATATAGCTGTTCGAATCCTTTAGCGACGAATCTAGCTTTGAATTCAATGAATTCACCTGAATCTTTTATTTTATATACCCATCTAGTCCTTAGGGTTTTATTATTATTGGGATTATCAACAATATCCCAAGTTCTATTGGATTCAAGGGTATTTATCTCGTATTCCATAGCTTTCAGCCAGTATTCCTTTTCCGAAGAGCTAATAGCTTCTTTATAGGACTTAGGTTCAATCAATACACGATCTGGCTTATTAATAATAATCTTTTTATTATTTTTAAGCCTGGTATCGAAAGCTAATTGAAGATCTTGTTGATCTATTTCGATATTCACCCCCTTATTGATTGAATTGAAGTACCCGGAAAAAGCAAGTCCATAATAGGAAATCACGTGTTTTCCATCGTCAGCAAGGCCTTTATTATCAGGAATTAGACCTCTTATACGCTTAGATTGCCGTATATTAGGTTCTATTGGCTCATCAAGCGTAGGTTCACCGGGCGTAGGCTCACCGGGATCGACCTCTATACAATCGATTGTTCCATCACTTTCACTGTTTTCGTCCATTTCGGAATTAGCTTGATACCTATTGGTGCTAGTGGTGTCTTCATCCTCTATATTATCTTGAATAGGTTGAAATTCGAGGTCTTCTTCTTCCAATAGCTTTAGATCTTGGTTTTTATATTCATTAGAATATATAAGATCTTCTTGAATATCGACATCTCTCGAGCTAATCACTCTCTTATTGGCTGGAATATAGACCAAATAATTGTTAGACGAATCAAAGCCTACTAGTATGCCTTTTCGAGCTCTAGAATCCAGTTTTCCATTGCGAATTTCTTTATTATTAATAATATAAGTAAGAGAGCCTAGGATTCTAATATAGCTTAGATCGGGCTTCTTATTATATATTAATTCGAATGGTGAATTATTAATAGAACTATTATATGTTCTATTTTTGATATGAGCGATGGCTTTAACTAGGTATGGCTATAAGTAGAGTGGAATCTCTTTCTCTTTAATTAAACAGATTAGTCTTTCGACTATATATCTGTTTAGTATCTTGGCTATTCTATTCTGGGAATGAGCGTACGGGCTAATATATTCGTATATAATCCTGTGATTTCGAATAAAATCCGACCATTTATTCGAAAGGAATTCAAGAGCATTGTCTAATCTTAGTATTTTAATATTAATATTAAACTGATTTCTAATTAGATTGTAGAATTCTATTAGAATATCATAGGCCTGGGATTTGAATTTAATGGGATATATTTAAATAGCTCTAGTGGCCCAATCTGTGAATGCTAGAAAGTATTTTTCACCTTTAATCCCTGTAGTTTTAAAGGGTCCAGCTATATCTAGACTGAATTTTTCGAATTTAGAGCTTATTTCAGGGATTTCAGAGGGTTCCTTGCTTATTTTCTGATGGAATTTGCCGAATTTGCATGATTCACATGCCTCTAAATCAGATTTAGCTACATCTGATTGGATATTCAAGGATTTAATAATATAATCCTTATTTATATGACCTAATCTCTTATGGATTAGGTTGAGATCGACTTTATTTAATAATAAATTCGATTCTTGAGTTGATTCCTCTTCTATTTCAGGGGTATTGATGCTTTTAAGACATTTCGAATCCACCTTAAAATTAAGGTAATATGCATCAATTAGCCAGGGAGCTGTAGTTCGTATATTAGCCTCTTTATGAATAATATCGATCTTATTTCCCGGGGGAACAATGTGACTAGCCCACCCTTTTTGGGCTATTTTATTCGAACTGATAAGATTGGAGGCTATATTGGGAATATAATACACCCCCTGCAGTAGCACCTCTGATTTATTATTAATTAGAATAGGAATATCTCCTATACCATTAATACGAAGCTTCTCCCCATTAGCTACAGTGATGGAATGATTGTTTAATGGCTTATAATTTATAAACCATTCCCTATTGGGTGAATAATGCTCTGTAGCACCCGAATCTAATATAAATTTATATTTAGATCCAAGAGATTGATTAGCTAAGCCTATATAATGGTCTACAGCCATTAGTTGCTTGCTAGAGATGGGTTTATTCGAATCTTTATTCGAATCTTTATTCGAATTTTTATTCGGATTCGACTTAAAATGCTTCTTATTATCCCCTTTATTGGTCTTTAATTCAGGGTATTTTATGAAGCATTTCGACTCTAAATGTCCCTTTTTAGAGCAATGCTTGCAATAGGGAGCTTTATTAAAGGTTGTTTTATTAGCATTTAGGTCGATATTAGATCGCATTCTAGCCTCTTCGGATATTAGCTCCGAAAAGAGCTTATCCAGATCAATACTAGCCGTATTTTTAGCTAGTTCTTCGTATTTTCGAGAGGCAAAGCTGTCGAAAGAGCTAGGTAGGCCTCTAAAAAAAAACCATACTATAAAGGCATCCGGAATGTCGAAATTCATCGATTTTAGGTAATTATACGATGATTGGATCGAATTAGTATATTCGTCCATTCCTTCTGAGCTAGTATAATTAGATTCTATTAGCCTATTTAGGTATCTTCCCATTAATTCGATGGAAGACTCTCCAAACATCTTATTAATGGAGTCCCATAGGCTTTTAGCCGAAGTTTTATTTTTGAATCTTTCGACTAATTCGAAGCTAATTATAGATTTAATAGCTCCTAGTGCCTTTCTTTCGTTTCTCTGATATTCTGAAAGCCTTTCATTATATTTTATGGCTAATTCAGGTGAAATAGGCTCTCCTGATTTGTCTATATATAGACTTTTATTGGGTGGAACTTCTGTACCGTCGATATATGGCATGAAGCCATTTATTTCCAGAAAGAGCTTAGCTCGGTTAATCCATTCAATATAATTAGATCTGCCTTTTAGAGGATCAGATTTAAAATTAATACCAGGAGCCATTTTAAGTCCTTTATAGACTAATTGGTCTTATATACTGGTTAAATACTAGTCTAAATATTTAGCTAGTTTCAGGGCTTGAATGGATCAGGTGAATAAATCGATTTAAAATCGATTTTAGTCTCGAGGATCGAATAGACCAGCCACCTCTTAAATTAGATCTTTATCTTATTTGGTATAAAATAAAGACTAAATAAGCTAGGGCACCTTGGTATGAAGAATATTGATATATCACCCGCTATGGGTAGCAATATAGCATAAATATATCGTCTAGGGACCTAATTTTATACGCTCAATTAGGTTTAGCTTCAGGGACGCAGGCCTCAGGGTCTATATGTAGTGTTTTTCGATATGAATTCGATTGAATTGATTCGAAAATTCGATATTCGACAGCTCAATAGCGGTATATATATGATATACAGCCTTAAATCAAGCTAATTCCCTTTTTAAGCTAGTTTAGACTAGCCGGGCTCATAACCTCTTGGAGGTTAGCTTTTATAATAATAAGGAATAGTATTATTATAATGATAGTGGAAGATCTAGTCAGTTTAAGCTTGAGGGATAAATCGAATATATAGAATAAGAGTTGAATTGAAGTCAATTTAGAAGAGCTAGGCTGAGTTGAGATGAATTGCTTGCTTTTTCCTAGATTTTCTTTAAAGAATATTCTAGGTTTATATAGTTTATAATGAAATTCCAGTATATTCTATGCTTATAAATAAGATCGATTTAAATCGTATCTTATAGAATCATTTTAGATAATAAAAAGAAAGTACAACCAATCAATTTAGCGATATTTCCTGTATACTTCCATCTAGTTCCATTTCATTCTATTCCATTATAAATCAATTTGATAAGAGATACTATTATACAACTATATGATAATATGATTTTATAATATAAGATCATATTATATGTGTATTAGTCATCAAGATATCCCTTATTTAGTAAGATATTAATAAGTGATTTAGTGGACTTATTATGAATCCTCACAGTATAATCTACAAAGGCCAAGGTACTTGATGTCAATCGCAATGCGATCGCTCACGTGTCATAGCTAGTACAAATAAGCGCTCTACGAACGCCCCGCTCCCTATTCTGTAGCTGTAGATTCTAAGGATAAATTGTACCCTGCTTTCGCAGTTCTTCTAAGAAAAAGTGTCACACTATGTAAGTTACAAGCACATTCAATATTTAGTAATATATTGATACAAAGAAAAATTATTTACTTCTAAACTTTCAAGCATTCAACACCTTCCACAGCTGCTTCATCTGCCGAGACTGCTCTGAGACAACTTGTTGTGCTGGGGTTGACTGAAGCGAAAAACGATGTTAGTAAACGAGCTTCACGCGACTCATTAATGAAGACAAAGGCACTAACTGGGGTTGGGGCAGCAGGTAACGCTGCCGCTCATGAGAGCGAAGACGGAGAAGATGGTGGTGAGCTGGAACTGCATTTTGATGTGATGTTCGTGTAGTGTGAAGAAGGTGTGTTCTTGAGTTGAATGAGTGAATGTGATTGTTTGTAGATCTTCCCGAGGATGTTAAAAAGCTCGATGTAAATGCGTTGATGACTCTAAACTTTGGGGTGATCTGGAAGCCTTTATATATTCATCAATTAGAAAATGAGATGAAAATGAGAAAATACTCTGAATTTTGCATTTCTCATTTTACTGGTCACAGATTAATCTCACTTCTTCAGTGGCCCGTGTTCACTAGAAATTGTGTGTTAATGTGCGTTGGGAATGTATTGAAAGAGAAGATCTGCGTACTGATCGGAATCCCAGAGTGCGATGGCTGTTGAGAATTTGACTGTAATCGTATTCACTTACACATCACACAGATCGAAGATCGCCAATAGACAACATCATGTTATAACCCAAAATAGTCATACCCGAGCTAACAGTAAAGAGAAAGAAGTCAAGAAGGAGATGCTCTCAATAATGTTTTCCTCGCCCTTAATCATCTGGTTAGTTCTCCGAGTTACATCACCGGGCTTAATTTAGATCGCGTTGCATTATTCTGACAATGATTTTCCATCACAAATTCAGGAAAGACACAACTAATTGATTCTGAGTACTCCTCGGCACTGAAATGGAAGGAGGTAACCTTTAACTTGCATAATATTGAAACTTACAATTGAGTGGTGCATCCGGAGACGCAGCACGATTTAGTCGTCGATTCGAAGAAAAAAACATTTGGTCATACAAATCTTTTGCAGATTCCTTAGCACTGTTTGCTATGCGCGTTATAGCAGTTTCCCGGCTGCTGATCGAGGGACGATCAAGACCGCCCAACGGCAACCCCCACTGGCTTCTCACCCACAGATGACTTCCGCCAAACTTCTCGCCATTGCTCCTCAGAACCAAGCTCAATCTTTTAGCATACGCAAGCAGCCCAAGAAGCTTGTTTCTTTACTGACTTCCAACTAGATGTTTCAAATCTTTACCTTTAACATACGATGGATACCTCCAGGTTGCTTGGGAAAGAGTGGTCTGAATCCAATGTCGAATCTGAAAGGCCCACCCCTGATCGGCTCGAAGACCACCATTGTCAAAGACAATGCAGTTCTGGTTATCTTTGTCAACAAAGAAACACATGGTTTGTCCGTGTTGTTGTCTTCTTCTTCGCGTGTTTCATTGCTTCAGTTCCGTTCTTGATGTTGACATGGTGTCGAGGTGCTGCCTCCTCTGGCTATCGCGTACTTGCTATTCCATACTGTAAATTTCCTGGGCGAAGATGGAGAGGAATACTGAGACTGATTTTCCATTTAAATAACAGCACTGGGAACCGACGCAATTCGACACACAGTCAAGGAAGGTGCACTAGCTGGAACCAACGACTTCGTTGGACCACCATCGGATGCATCTTGGAAGGCATGGCTAGATTTGGTTCCGCGTAAGTGTCCTGCAATATCGTTATATCAAGACATTACGGAACTAACTCTTTTCATCTGCGATTTTAGTAAGCCTCATTCAAATTTCACATGAGGAGACGGTGATGGCGAAGGAAGACCCGGAGCACCCAGTGGAGGTAGATGAAGGCGGATACATGGGATCGCTCGAGTTCATCACGAGTTGCACTGTCTGGTAAGAGGGTACGAGAATGACCAGCAAAGCTTTGCTAATTGCGATTTAGCGTCGCCTGAAACCATATCTCTACAAAGAACACTACTATCCCACAGTTGAATCAACCCCCGCCGAAAAAGAATATGAAGTCATGGAATCTTGGCAAGTTACAAACCTGATTGATTTGATAGCATATTGAGCTAATCTTTTACAGAACATTGCATCGATGCAATCAGGCAATCCATTATTTGCTCTGGAAATACTGTCATTTATAGTTTCCAATGGGAGCGTAATGGCACGCGAAAGCCACGCACAAAGACAAACTCGGAGCGTGTTTGCGTAGATTTTGCTAACTTGGAAGCGTGGAATTTGGAAAGAGGAGTTGGACTTTCACCAGTGCTGATTGGACCTGAGTGGAAACACTAGCAGAAATACCAGTAGTGATGCACGTAACGGTCGGCGGTTGTGGCAGACAATTTCAGATAATATCAACATACCGTGCACGTGATCTGAAGGAAGATGCAGTTCAATTTTTGAGAGAATTCGTAAGAAGTTCTCAAAATTGATTCCATAAAAGTTCCATAGCCACAATTGGAGACTAGACAACATGGGTCAGTAGGTACCGAGGTAATTAGGTATGTGCAAGTAGGTGGCGATTGCTCAGGGTTCAATGTTGCGCTTATCGAATTGAATGTGCACTCGAGGCACAGTCCACACCGAGTGTGTAAGGCTGCGGCACATGCAAAGAGTATAGCAGGGGTTTCCGCGAGTGAATGGAGCCCCTCATGCACTGTATCGCGCCGTCAACGGTTGCGGCAGCAGAGATCTTGCAAACCTGGGTAAGTAAATGAAACGCACGAGACCTGCACGTTGCACTGCCTTACGGCTGCATACCTCCGAAACTCTTATAACTGTTGGGCGAATTTTATACCGAAGAGGTCTCAGCAGTTAGATCCCAGATATTTAAACTGTTCTTAGACGTCTAAGAGCACATCATTCGGCACAACCTCGCGAGCCATAATAAAACAAACACGACGACAAAACGACTTTTCGATACGATCCTCAATTGAAAAATGGCCCTGCAGTTATCAGAAATTACCAACGCAGCCGACTTTGCTGAAGTGGTTAAAGTCGAGCACAGAGCTTATGCCACACCAGCAAACAGTCTATGGGAAGTCCTCAAAGGTCCCAACATCGACGAGTGTGCTGAGCGACAATGGGCTTGGCATATGGGCACCCCAAACAGCCACTGGTTGACTGTAAAGGATGGAAATAAGGTAATCAGTGGCGCTGAGTGGATTGTCCATGAAACAAATCCATTCGAAAAGCCACAGCCGATTGTGAAAGCCACTTGGTGGCCAGAAGGTATAACGCGATTTCACTTGACAACCCCAAGACTATTATGACTGCTGACCACACATCTGAATGCAGGTCCACTGAAGACAATTTCCGACAATTTCTTCGAGACATTCTTTGGGGGTCGCCCTTCAGTCATGAATCGTCCACACTTGCGTGAGCACCCCTCATTCTCGCACATCCTTCAATGATACTGAATAAATACTAATTCGGTCTGACAATACCAGTCTTGAATTATTGCTTTGTAGATCCAGAGCACCGCCGTAAAGGAGCAGGTAGCTTGATGATGCAATGGGGTTGCAAGCTCGCCGACGAAAAGGGACTCGAAGCATTTGTAGAGTCTACCGATGATGGACGTGAATTGTACAAAGCCCACGGATTCGTCATTGTTCGCCCTTTCTTCCTTGAGGTACCACCTGCTACAGAGAGCGATGAAGAGGAGTTTGCGAAGTTGAAGGAAGCCATTGCGCCTAAGCCGTATCGTGTTTGGCTCATGTGGAGACCCAAGGGTGGAAAGTTTGAGGAGGGGAAGACTGTGTATTCGTGGGAGAATTAAATGTTAGCACATACTGGAAACGGCGGACGGCATTAGCAGTGGCAAGTTCCTATGCCACTAACACAATTGATTAAATCAATTTACTGGGAGTTCACAAATATCGAATCGTTGTTATTGATGTGCCTTCCGTGCTTGAATTGCATGCATGGAGATAGAAGTGATGATTAATTGATGGGCTGTACTTAACTCATTACGAGCGGTCCTAGACGGCTAAACCGCGGAATTCGCGCCATCACGTGTTTGTCGCCTTCTCACATTGATGGTCTCTACGTAACCGAAAAAAGCGGCGGAAATTGACCACTATGCATGCAAAAGAACTTTAACAATTAAGATCGCTTTTCGATATAATATTAAATAAAAGAAACACTTCATATCAATACAAAAAAGACTCAAATTTTCGTTTGCTTTTTTCAAATTTCAATATTTAATTTGAAATGAATTTATAATCTATTAAAAAAGATTTTTGAAAGGGTACTCAATTTCCGCCGCTTTTTTCGGTTACGTAGAGATGGTCCCTTCGAGTAAACCTGAGATTTCAGGATGTATAATACCTAGTTGTCGGACTTTGGATGTAAGAATCATTTATGCAGAGTATACGAAGTCCATACCAGAAATCTCACGTCGAATAGGTATTTAAATAGTTTCCGGAATTCGCAATTGGGGCCGGTTCTTGTGGGATTCGGAAGATTTTTTGATCTGATGAGAAGAAGGCCGGGATTTCGGTGATGGAAACAAATATGTTCATTACCTGGGCAAGTCTTGATTGGTTTGTTTGAGGTTATTCGCGGATAAGAATGCTGACAATCATCTGCGGATATGATCTCCCGCAATGACTGTTGAGCTGAGTGAGTAGAGATGGCTGTAAAAGGAATAGATATATAATTCATGGTGGGAATGCAACAGTAATCAATTGTGCATACACTCGTACAAAGAACTTCAACTTTCCCCTCGTAGTATCTCATCTCATCTGATATTTACACACTTAATCCATCTCCAACAACCAAAGTGATTCATTCTCTACCTTTATGATAAATAATGGCAACAACCAAACCACCCATTCCACCTTTCACCGAGGAAACCGCTCGTATCAAGGTTAAAGCTGCACAGGATGTATGGAACACAAAGTATGCACTCATTGTTCCTCTCGCAGAGTCATCAGCATATCAATAACAAAACATAGAAATCCCCAAGTAGTAAAGAATGCCTATACCGAAGATTCCATCTGGAGAAACCGCGATACATTTATTCGTGGCCAAGATGAAATCGTCGAATTTCTGACCAAGAAGTGGGCAAAGGAAAACGGATATAGATTGAGGAAAGAACTATTTGCATTTACGGAGAACAAGGTATGCATGTTTCTGATATCGTAGAAGGGAGTGCTAATGAGATGTGTATAGATAGCAGTACAATTCTGGTATGAGTTTCACGATGAGGATGGTCAGTGGTGGAGATGCTATGGACTTGAGGATTGGACGTTTGCAGAAGATGGGAGAATGAGGAAGAGACAGATGAGTGGGAATGATGTTAAGATTGGACATGACGAGAGGTGGTTTAAAGAAGGGGTGGATGTTAATGAAGTTGAGATTTCGGAGAAACATTGGTGAAGTAATGGTGTGTGGTTACACTGTTTCTGTGGTATAAGATTGGTAGCCATAATTGACGCTCAATGCATAATCGATTTTTTCTCCACGGTCTTCATTACCGTTCGCCGTTAACATATGATGTATTAATAAATATCAATAATATATGATCCAGATATGGTTCCGTCAAATGTCTAGGAAACACCTGCAATGCTAGCATCCATCGCTTTCACTACATGCATTTCATCCTATTAATTCCATCAATTCGTGAATCTATCATCTGTTTAATTTTTGGTCTGGATAGTTTCTATATAAAGCTTATTAATGGTATTGTTGGATACATACATAGTACATCATGAATTGGTCGGTCCATCTGTCATTGAAGTGGGCTTTCATCCATGTTAACTGCGAGCCTCTTCATTCTAGCTCGATTCCTCAATACGTATATAGTGTACACATACATCCATCGCGTCAGTCAAACTTTGTCAATTTGATCTGGTTCTCCATCGAACCTGTACAACTCCACAGGATGTTTGTCACATAGGAGGGAGTGATTGAAGACCCATCGTGAAAGTCCAATGAACAAGTTCAAACGCTTTAATTGGCCTGTTCATTCTGAATAGAACTTCAAATTTGGGTATTCCATACAGGAGCTTTCTCGCCTATCCAAACCTTTTATGGTGACCTCGCTCCCGATTTCGCTTGTACCTTATTGATCGCTCGGCTTCGCGCCGAACCTCTCAACAAAGTTAGACGTTTTCCACGAAGATTGCAAGTTTTTACCCTTTAACAGGGATACAAAGTTCTATGGAGGGAAAAAACGTTAAATTCGGATCTACGCTACGTCCTAGTGCCACGTGCTTTGTAGATAATCGCGTCGGGGGTGGAGTACCAAGATGAACCTCGATTGCACGTTTAGTCAAGGTCGTATTGTAGATGAGTAGCGATTCTCACTAGCCATTGGCCAATTGTCAGAGCAGAGAGGCGTATCTCGGGAACCCCGCCCACATATTTCTTATTGAAAAGTGCAAGTAAAGCCTAATTAGGCACCTTGTGGAGCTCTAATCGAGGCAAGAGAAGCTAGGCTCGCTAGGCTTTCCGCACGTCCTACATTGTCATGGCATCTTTCCTCACAGGCTGTCAATAATCTGAGAGCATACTCAAAAATTAACCTTCACATACTCAATCGTCTGGAACGGTGGACAGAGTAATAAGGATCATGCTTGCGATTTGGAATTCGAGCCTGGAGCGGCAACCGACCTTCCCATCTTCACATGCGTAAACTTGCAAAAGGTTGATGGCCTAAGTGGACATCTACTACTCATGTACTCCTTATAGCAATCCCAAAAGCAGGATATATATATACCGAGATAGATATCGGGCGGTCTCTCTTTTCTTTCTCCCACTGATTTTAAACCCCTTCGATTCACCCTCATTGATGTGTAGTTGTTCAGTCGTTCTGATACATAGATTGAGTTCAGTCACCATTGTGCCTTCCTTTCAACCTTTGAACGCCTTCTATTTTGATATCAGCATCATTCTTACCCTTGATTCTCACGATCTTTCCCTAAATCACTAGTGTTTTATA